TTCTATTTCTTAACACGTTCGATTTTCGACTTGACAGTTAGACTATAAACTTGTACTTCGCCAAAATGGTGAAATCTTTGAGAAAATGCCTAGTTGAGGAACGAACGCGCTATTGTCCTTTCCGGGGAGTAACGCGTTCACCACCACACCATGCGGGTCCTTTGTTTCGCCTGTCTCTCAGCTATTTCTATCGATCTTTGCCACTGCAATCACCCGCCAGCGGGATTGATCTGAGGCGCCCAAATCGGCATAGAACCCAGTTAAGCTGCGGCTGTAGTTGAAATCACAATGTTATACCTTTTTATTTTCTAATAACAGGAAATAAAAAAGGAAAATTTTCTAATAACAGGAAATAAAAAAGGAAAATTTTCTAATAACAGGAAATAAAAAAGGAAAATAAAAAGGTATAACATTGTGATTTCAACTACAGCCGCAGCTTAACTGGGTTCTATGCCGATTTGGGCGCCTCAGATCAATCCCGCTGACGGGTGATTGCAGTGGCAAAGATCGATAGAAATAGCTGAGAGACAGGCGAAACAAAGGACCCGCATGGTGTGGTGGTGAACGCGTTACTCCCCGGAAAGGACAATAGCGCGTTCGTTCCCCACCATAGACACCTGCGGTCCAGAGCTTTGCAAATATCTCAGCAACGTTGTGGTTGTATTTCGCTTAGTACCCTGCCGCGAAATTATAATAGGCAGAAAATAAAAAGGTACAACAAAATGCCTAGTTTTCCGCAAAGCACACTGGCCATAGAAAAATTTTCTGCATAAAAATTTTATATAAATTACTAACTCTAGACAAGGCGTTTTCATAGAGCACATTTGTTACAATGTTTGTGTTGGATGACCTATGACTTTGGTAGAAGAAATGTAACAAATAAGCTCCATGAAGAATCTGAAGGGTATGCACTGAAATCAATGCATGCCATCATCAAAGCATACTTCACAAAATTTTAATAACGCTGCACCCGAGCTCATAGAATCAATTTTCAATTAGACGAGATTAAGCAGTGACGGTGAGTTATAGTCGCACGGGCGTAGAGGCAGTTTTACTGAGATCGTAACCTTTCAGGTGAGAATTCAATAGACCAACTTTCTGTTAACCATGGCAAAATCGGATGATGCAAAAATAGAAAAACGTCTCTGGAGAAGGAAAGTTCGCTGAAACATAAGCTATCGGAAACTGAAATACGTGTGAGCAACCTCGTGACAGCTCGTCAAGAACATTTCGTTGTTGAGAAGACAAGTTCCTAAGTAGGACTTCATGTTAGCTCATCGAAACTGCCTGGAAGTCGGTGGTTGGCATTATCACACAAAATGGTTAGGATAAGGGAAAACAGGTTCGGCAGCGATCCATCTTTGCGAAATGTGCCATGCATTAAACTTCATCAAGCATCGCTAGTGGTATTTAGTGCATATATGGCCTATACATACAATACACAATATACAATATTTACAACGACTTGTGGTGACACCGATATACCAAGTTAGTGTTGTTATCCTCTTATCGAAGTCTTCTAATAATTTGCATCCTGGAGAGATGGAGGGCTTGATGAGCCCAGGATACGTTGTGGAACCAGGGCGAAAATATTGGACAATTAGAAATTGCAGAGCTCTTCTACAGAGTATCTTTCCCTTATGGTTATTAAACTTGTTTTCACACATGCCTCGCTCTTGCACCAGTCTAAAACACTTATGTACAGTTCCCAAAAAAAAACTCGGATAATCTTCTTGCTTTACTCGAAGGCAGTATCACAGAAGAAATTTCAAAAAGATGGTACGTAACCTAAGATATTCTGCTAACATCTTAGGCTTCCTTTCTTTGACTAGTGACTCTTTCATCTTGGTTTTCGGCTTTGGTGAACAACAATCAAATAATAAAGTACTTCTCAACCATTCCATTCCAACGCTAGATATGTTTTTGCTTATAGAAATTAAAATATCTTGCCAAATGATTTACTTACTGCACTAATTGAATAAATCGATGAGACTGCATCACCCGCGTAGTAATGGCTCCATGCCATTCCACCCATTTCGTTCGTAATATTTCCTTAAAGATTTAAAAAGTTGGAACTAAAAAGCACGCAAATTCCTGGCCATCGAAATTTTGAAAGGGTCCTCCAAGGGCTTTTTTAAGGAACAAAGTATAGGTAATCATGAGAGTTCTTAAAAACATTCGAAAAAGCCCATTTCACGTGGAAATTATTTAAAATAAAATATCAGTGTCGGAAAGACTTTTTTATTTATGCATTTCAACAAAAATTGGTCCACGTATCTTCTTCACAAGAAAGAGAACCTGCCAGCTAGCCGCGGGGAACGTGGCGCGTCCCTATGTGGCGGAATTATCGTGTGCTAAAAGCGACCTTATGCTTCCCTGAGAAGCAAATGGATATAGGGGATGGATTCCATGTTTCTGCAGCATTTGGGAAATTCCTTCTTTGTCTATAGGCACGTATCCAAGCATGTGTGCGTGGGTATGCTCTTTGTACGAATTGCATTCTACGAATAAATTCGACCAAAACCCTGCAACTAACTGAGTGGAAAAGATATTGGAGGTGTTTAGAAGCTGCCTAGAGCAGCTAGGCTTCTTATCTGCTTTGACAGAGACTGGTAAACTATAAATTAGTATATCCAGAAAACATGTTCAGAGCTCAGCAAGCTATATATGGGTGACAAATGCTAACAACTTGCATCCGAGTTCTCGATGCAAGACTTGACAATGCAGCTAAGAAGGGTAAGTAAGGTACGACGTATTCGGACAGGCCGAGACGATAAGACACCTCCCGTTCCAGACCGCCTACGGCAAAGGCAAAAAACTGTTCCTCGAAACATTCGGCCACAGAGGAGTCGGCGGTCTCGGCGTTCTCGTCAACAACAGTTTGGGCATGAAAATCGATTCATTCGAAAAACTATCAACCCGACTCGGACGTTAAAGACTGAGGAGATGTGAATCAATATCGGTTCCGACAATCTTCGTCGTTTACGCGCCGACATTGAACTCTAACAAATAAGAAATCGAAATGTTCTATGTCATGTTGGAGAAGTTCTACAGAGAAAACCACGCATTCTTCAAAGTCATCATTTCAAATTTTAACGCTATTATTGGGTCAAGAAGAACGTCTAAAGAACGTCACATTGGGAGAGACGGGCTGGAATAAAACGAAAAGGATGAGCGCTGTCTAAATTTATAATGACGACTAGCACCATACGTGGTAACTCGCAATCCCAGAAGACCCACTAAACGCTAAACGTGCGAATCTCCCAATGAAGAGTACTAAAACGAAATAGACTGCATAGTAGTAAACCTAATGTTATGCCTAACCAACGTCGCTGTCTTCCCAAAATCCTACACGGAATCCGACCATCCTCTCCTTTATGCAAAAGTCATTTTTCGTGGAAAGAATAAAAAACCTCCAAATTCAAAAAACTAAGTCCGAAAACCACAGTAAATTGGGATTTATTCAGTTCGTTATGAGGCTGTTGGGAAAAATCTAGCTGGCATCTAAAAGGAATACAATCGGCTCATTCAGCATCTTCACGTAAGCGCTATGAAAGCTGAGAGCTCGAAAATAACCAAAAGACATCCGTTTTCAGAACCCTTTGAATTGATACTCCAGCGTGCAAGCGCGAGAGTTGGAGGCAACTGCCAACTCACGCCCGAACTTGCAGAAGAATGCAGACAGCCGATAAAAGAATGCCTTAAACAAAGAAAACAAAGAGTTACGGTGGTTACTGCAGAGGCTGGAAGAAGCAATTGCAAAGCCCACCGAAGCGTTAGATGTTACAAAATCAAGATGATTGCATTCCCACGTTAAAGACGGAAAGGTTACAGCTTCCAGAAAGACTATGGAGAAACTTATTCACGATTACTACGTAGATCTCTTCAATTGCCACATCATCTTGTCTTCATATGAAACAAATGAGTATAGGTCTGTAGTCGTACCGTGCTACACTCCGAAATCCTCATGCTATTTCGTCACTATTTCCTAGTGCTCCTAATCCTAGTGCTATTTCGTCACTGAGGAATCGAAAAACACCAGGTCAGTAAGAAATAAAATCTGTACACTTGAAGAACCATCCGAAAGTCCACATAAACACAGTGGTCCAGCTCTTCATGCGTCAGAACGCAGGGCTCCTACTCAACGAAAGAGAGTCAAAACCGTGTTGTTGTTTAAGAAGGATGATCTCAAAGATATCGGCAACTTTCGCCCAATCTGTTTGCTGCTTGTCGTTAACAAATTTTTCACTTGAGTCATCCTAAACAGGGTTGACAGAATACTGAACGAAAGACAGCCATATGAGCAAGCGGGGCTTCGAAAAGGATTCAGCACGATAGATCCCATCAACGCAATAACAACATTCATTGAATTATCGCAGAGTACAAGAGATCACTCTGCCTCATATTCTTCGATTGAAGGAAAGCTATTCACTAAAATGAAATAGAAGCAGTCATGAAAGCACTGTACATCCTGGACATCCGTGTTCAGTATGCAAAATTCTTCCTGAGTTATATAAAAATTTCACAGCAAAATACCATTGCTCTGTAAAACTATTAAAATCGACGTTAAAAGAGGAGTTGGACACGGCGATACCACATTCCCAATTATTTACTACCACTCTCCAGAATGACATGCGAACATTTGAGCGGGATAACGTGGGAGTGGAAATCGGTGGTCGTCATTTACACCATCTTCGCCTTAGTAATTATGTCGTTCTTATAACATCATGCATTAGCTATGCGAAACGGACCTTGATATCGTTTGTGGAGAGGTTGACCTTCGATAAATTATACAAAAATGATGTTCGCGAAGAAAGGATTGGTTTCGTATGCCTCATTAACACCCAACCAAACAAACATCGCGAATGTTTCACAACTGACATTCCCTTAACGTCGGTATCAACAATCAGTATGTATTCTTTTTCTGATAAGCCTACACGGGGTTGACATATAATCTTTATTCGGCTAACGTCTCGACATCTCAGTTATCATCAGAGTCCTCAATCCGAGTCGATGGTGTCCACAATTGATCGACTTCTCGATGTGGCGTCTTCTTCTTCGTATTGAGCCGGATCTTCCTCAGTAGAGCATCTCCCGAATGCGGCATATTTCACCTGGCGATCCATCCTGTATAAAAGAGCATCGCTGGGCAAACAGCATAATAGCAACCTCGTGTAAGCTTATCAAAGAAAGAATACACATCTCCTGGTGCTACGTCAATCCGGGTAGTGAATCAATATGAAGAGCGACTTAGCTCTAAAGTTCAGTAGGAGGAAGCGAGGTGCTTGGGGAGCCTTCAAGATCATTGAAGATCCAGCGAGGTGCAAAAATAACAACGAGCTTTGTGGTCGCCTTTCCAATTCCACGATTCTTCCCACGTTAACCTTTGCGTCAGAAGCCTGGTAGCTGCGTAAGCAAGACGAAACATCACTCAGTGGTACGGAACGTGCAGTCGAAAGGACGATGCTGAGAGCCTTCGTTTTACGTGAAGAAAGGGATCCAAGGCTCAGATCTACGTCAACGATCAAAAACAAAGAGATTGTTTCGAACTCTATACCCCATACTGTCGAAGATAAAGTGCGCTGGAGACGTAAAGCATCTGAGCGACAACGGATTTACACGAGCCGTTAGCGATTGGATTCGTCGCGATGCCAAAAGCAGAGCAGGTAAACCAGCGACAACGTAGTCAGAGTTCTTCAAAAAAGACATGAAGCTCGAAGAGTCCCTAGAACAAGCNGGAGCCGTTAGCGATTGGATTCGTCGCGATGCCAAAAGCAGAGCAGGTAAACCAGCGACAACGTAGTCAGAGTTCTTCAAAAAAGACATGAAGCTCGAAGAGTCCCTAGAACAAGCATAATCCACTGAACTACTCCTGCATACGATAGGGAGTAAGTGAAGGTTGCCCACTCGAGCCACTGGACGATCAAAGCGATGGCAGGCGATACAGATGGAAGGAATTAATAATGAACCAAAGCACGTTGCTCACCTTCCCATGTTCGAAATGGTCGACTTTTTGAAGCCGATTTCGGTCGGACAGTACGATTAGCTTCTCTCATTACATATGACTTCAATGGAAATCTGTAATGTCAGGATATTACACACAACTACAATGCAATTGTTGTGGTGGATGAGGAAACAGTAAACATAACTTTTTGCCTTTTCACTGGTTTCCGATTTCTCCGCCTTGTTGAGAATCTAAAAGAGAATTTTTTTTCGACAAAATTACCTAAAGTGCCAACAACCTCTACATTATCGACTGGATCAAGATAATGCATCTCATTTTCGCGCATTCCCTCTGCGGCAGCAGTATCGTTCGGACTCACAAGGAGCTCATCGACTTTCCTCTTTGACGTTTTTTTTGAGTCTGAAATTGTAAAGGGTTTACGTCAATATGAAGAAAGAGCACATTACGATTGCATAAAGAGAAATCTTTAACTGATTAAGCACAATTATTTTACCATTTCTTTCTTTTTTGACAAAGACATACAATTTTCTCCAATTCGCCTTATTCTGCGACATTTTCTGCACCTCTAATTATAAATATTTTTAAGCGGACCGTCATTTTACCTCGATATTAGTGATTCTTGGATTATTGCTTAGTACGAGGTTGATAAAGATGTTTATTCGGCTAAGGTTTCAACGTCTTCATCTTCATCAGAACCGACAATATGAGTCGATGGTCCACAGTCGTTCGTCTTCTCGATGTGGTGTCTTTTTCGTCGTTTCGAGCCGGATCCTCTTCAGCTGCTTGAATAACGGAACTTTACCACCAGACAGCTCTCGTTCATATAGGACGGTTGTTGTTGATAATGACTATCTGCTGGGATATGGATTAACCGTTAAAAACTAATTGTTCTCAACGGATGGTCATTGTCAAAAACAGCCGTCCTGTATAAAAAAGCGCTGAGTGAGCATGCCTCATTCGTGCGATGTTCCACTAAAAGAGATAAAATTCGATATGAATGACTGTAGACCATGGATTGACTCGAATCATCGGCCCTGATAAAGATAAAGACCTCAAAACGTTGGCAAAGTGGAACAAATTTATTACCCTCGTGTCGGCTCTGTGGTTTATGGTATTAATTAAAGATAACCCATTTTTCTTGTAGGTAGAGAGATGATTAATAAAACCATGCTTCAAGGAAAAGGTTTCTACTAACTATACCTAGAGAACGAATGTCGGAGTGAATTATTAGTTGGGAGATAGTTCAGGGAACTTCTGTGGTACGTTTATCGAGCGGAATACGGAAAATCTGGATGTACGAGATCGCAGAATCCTTCCTTATATAACTTCTTTCCACAGTCAAGTAGATTGTCTATAACTGATTAAAGAGGCAGATGTAATTGGCGTGTGTAACGCCGTTCTTTGAGGCGCCCTTCAATACACGATGTTGGTTTGATCGATCCTGTGCCGCAGGTTCGTCAAGCCCTCCATCTCTCTGGAGTTGGCAAAATGATACATCTCTGAGAGGGTAAGAACACTGAATTGACACATCAGTAGTCGTTCTCAAATCATTCTACAGGTCAAATATGCGTTCAATCATCTCTAAGAAGATGCACGCATGGTGCATCTCTCATGGAATGATCAAAGCACTATCCATAGTCCTTTATCGTCTATGACCAAGAGGGATTTCACTTATTATTCTTTGATCGAGAACCCGAGCGACTAATTTATCGCGTACGCTGCCATAGCAGGAATCACTGATGTCTTAGAAGAAACAGCGTGGCAAGACAGCACATCTCCTTTCAGTTCACAAAGGCCAGCAGCCGCTTGAGTTGATGACCGTGGAACGTCATACTCCCGCTAGCTCGGACTTCACAGAGAAAATCACGCTTGACCAACATCATTCAATGTGTAACAAATTATGTTCAAAGTTTGCTTTCCGATAACTAACTATAGTTCTCTAAATAGCTTCAATATTTGAGGAATTCTAAACTTACAGAATTATACAGCAGATTTTAACCCGTTGCCTTAATCGAACCCGCACTTTCTACACGGTAACCTTTATATCTTAAATACTTTACAGTTAAAGCTTTTAAAAAGTTTGATATAGTGTTCAAGCTTTTTAAAAATCTCTAGTGGAAAAGCAGCGAGCTAGAAGCATAGATGTGCTGACAAACACCACCATGTCATAATGGGAGAAATTCCTCATGTTTATCTGTCTTTCTATTCGAAATGTGAGCATCAAAGTAAGAAAGAAAAAAAAACATACGCCGTCGGCTTAAAAAGATAGAAGATTTCATCTTATCAGAGCAAAATTTCTTCCACAAAACTCAACCTGTTTGCTACCTAATCGTAAGGTGAAAGGAAGCGCTTTCATAGCACGGCACCCTTTTATAAAGGCATATATATAGCATTTATAGAGCTGAGTACTACTTTTACTATCCTTCTGTTATTGTTTGCGAAATGAATGCTAACTCTGTGGGGGTACGGTACAGCGAGTATAAAACAACTCCCACATGAGCATTGTGGTATTGTTGGTATGCACTCCGCGAGTAATGGAAAACAGTTTTTTCCGCAGTACTGGTGGTTTTATTATAACCTACGAAACGCGAGTCAAAAAATGCTGTAATCAGTGGTCATCAATTCACACAATGCTGGATAGAAGATGAAAAGTTATACTTGGTAGGTTATTCGTTAGCCCTTCGTTATTAGTCATTTTCATCTGCTTTTTTGCTTATCGCTTCAATGTTGCTGTGGTTCACTACTTGTGTATTGGAAAATTAATGGTTTTCTACCTTCTTCGTGGCATATCTGAGCTTAGAACAAACATAGTCCATTGATATAAACCCATTAAATTCCTGCTAATTTGCGAGAAATACAATTTGTATTGAAAATTAGGCAGAGAATAAGTGGACAAAGTGAACTTGCCGATAATACAGAGTGCTAGAGTGATCAGGAAAAACTGTGAAGTCGTTCAAAGAAGAACAGAAATTAGGCTAACGTTAATGATAATATATTCTTAATTGTGAGAAAGGAACTTTTGAATTCACACCGATGTACTGGTTTTTAGGGGCGCGTGTGGCGCAGTGGTTGGAGACGCCACTGCGATACACACGTGAAATCGATCCCCGCGCCCATGGCCCACCAAGCTTTCTATCCTTTCGGTAAATTGGTACCAGATTGGTAGGACAGCAGCACAGGCTCGATACATCGGTAGACCACTGCGAGTCATTGTAACGGTCAGATACGCATTCAGTCACCTCCAACGGTACTTAGTGAACTCGAATGCATGGCGCATCTCTCAGGCATTGGTCAACGCCGAGAGCTTCATCCTTTATTTTTTTCATGCCTTTATGTGTTTAATATGAGACAGCAGACGTTAAATACAACTTCAATGGGAATGTTTAACTTTTATCTACCATCCATTATTTCTTCATGGCAAATCATTCCTTCAAATACAACCACAGAGATGCCGAGATATTTGCAAAACTTGGATCCCTGACCAGATTCGAGCAGAAAATTACCTTCTTCGGGGGCTCAGGTGTCACCCACTTCACCACTGAGACCCTTGCTTTGCTTTTCTCGCTCTCAGTTTCTGTCCTAACGATGCTACAAGCAATCATCCGCCAACGAGAATGATCTTGAGAGCACAAATCGTCATTAAACCCAGTTAAGCTGGGACAAAATGCATAATACCCTGCCAGAAAAAATAATGAACAGTAGATAAAAAGTTAGACAATGTTATTTCGACTACAGTATCAGCTTAACTGGGTTCCATGAAGAATTGCGCTCCCCAGATCATTTCCGTTGAAAGTGCGTGCTCATTGGAACAATAGGGGTAAAAACTGGTTAAGAGAAAGGCAAAACAAAGGTCTAAATGGTGCAGTGAGTAACATGTGAGACCCCGTAAGAGGTTCGAAACCTAGGCTGAGGTCCACGTTCTGCAGATATCTTGGCATAGTTGTAGTTGAATTTTAATGGCAAATAGATGTACGAACGTCATTGACTTCCCATACATAAAATTGTTAATTTGCACAGATCTTTATGCGAAATCACTACAAGTGAAATCAGTCAGGACTGCGACAATAGAGCAGTGGTGACGGACGCTTCCAAGGCAAGCGAGCGAATGGAAATCACATAGTTACTTCATTTTTTACGGTAAGAATGATCATAAGACGGTAACAAAATATCGGCCATAATTCCTCAGGCTAAACTTAGACCTCTTTTGCGAGTGATTTTCACAGAATTACCTGTTGTGAACTCGCGATTCGAGAAATTCCACAGCCAAATGCGAATTGATGCAATTGTTAGTACTGCGAATGGAAAGAATTTCTCGAGAAGACTCTTTCATTTCTCAAAGCACATACCAGCAGAATAATTCCAACTTGTCAAAGTAGTCTAGCACTGGATTTTCATGGGCATCCAGCATAGGAAACGGGAAGAATAGTGGTAAACGAGTGATGCAGTCCACCTGGAAAGCAAGCGCTGCTTCGACCCACAACCCAGCGTTCCTCTCCAATCCACGTGAGAACGCCTTAGCTCGGCTATCTCCAAGACTGCAAGGAGAACAAACTCGACTAGCACTTATTATATTCACAAAGAAAACAAAATCCTCAAAGAGCAGCCGAAACAACGCGCAAAATGCTCGAAGACCATTGTGGACGATGAATTCCAGGAAAGCGAATAGAATGCAAGTAGTACCAGGATTCGCTTGCAGGCGTTATGTCTCCACCGTTACTTAATGCACGGAGTTGATCAGAACTTCATAGTGCGAAAGCGACTCACTTCATTAACAATACAGTCTACCAAGTACTTTAAATCGAAATGCGAGTACACTGCACTTATCTACAATACAAGCAGCACAAGATATTCGCTGAACTGAAGAAGTGCGCGTCGATAGAATACAGTTGCGCTCATTACTTTGAGGATCGCTGTTGGAATAGAATAATGGGTGGGTCAATATGGATTTGTAACTCTCTAGTTACAATGCTAGAGTAACCTAGTAGAAAATTTGCCAATCTACTAAACAAATTGCATACACCATCTTCAGCAGAACCAAGAAATATACCATAACAGACTTTCTTTTAACCTCGGCATTGATCAGTAGTTCACTGTTTTTTTCGTTGAGCAAATATGAGGTTGTTATAACAGCATTTATTAATACATAATAGCGGGCATTCAGGTGGTTTTGCCTTCTTCAAAGTCTGGAAAGGCCAAGTTGACTTGCGGCGTACTCAGGCAAGCACTTTCTCGGCAGATAAAACTTACTACATAGATTTTCATTCACACAGTAAACACCTTGTGTTAAACACTCACCGTTTCTTCAAATCGACCACATTTAAACTCGGTAGTAAAGCAATCGACATGTGTATAAATTTTTGAGTTTACATGAGGTTGATAAGTTAGTTTTATTCGGCTAACGTTTCGACGTCTCCGTCTTTATTAGAGCAGATGGTCCCAGTCGATGGCCGACAGTTGTTCGTCTTCTCGATGTGGAGTCTTCGTAGGCTCATCGAGGCGGATCCTTCAGTGGAATACCGCACGAATGATGCATGCTCACTCGGCAGTGCTCTTTTACACAGGGCAGTTGTTCTGGATATTACTATCCGTTGGCAATAATTTGATTTTCAGCGGATAATCAACCCTGAAGAAGTCAATATATTATGCAATGTGCGGGCTAACTTAATATTGACTGCTGTAGGGTAGATTATTTATTGGAAAACAAATTATTATGAACGGATAGTGATATCCACAACAACCGCCCCTGTAAAAGAGGACTACCGCGTGAGCATGCATCATTCGTGCGGTGTTCCACTGAAGGACATCCGTCTCGATACGCCTACGAAGAAGTCACCTCGAAAAGACGAACAGCTGTGGACCATAGACTTGGATCATCTGCTCTGATGAAGACGGGCACACCGAAACTTTAGCCGAGTAAAACTAATTTATCAACCTCGTGTAAGCTCAGCAATTTATACACTCACCATTTTGCTTTTTTTCCTTCGGGTTAAGTCTAGAAGAAAAACCACGCCCTCAAACAATGATTCTTGCGAGAATAATGTCCCGTTTATCACGTCTTTTATTTTCAGCGAAATAAGTGCAGCTATAAAACGTTGCTTAAAAAAGGCCTAGAGACTTCGGTGATAGTGCAAGAAACACCACCGGATATTCTCAGGCACCAGCTAGTTTATAACCGCTTGTGTAATCGTCTATGCACAAGAGAAAATAGCCGTTGTGGTAGAGACGGTGATTGCATGATTTATCTGATGTCTTTTAAAGCGTGCGGGGCGAATACATTTGCGAAACGGTAAGACCACACTATACGATCGTATAAAAGAACACCAAACCGGCAAATTTATAGTTAAACCAAATACTCGACAAGGCACGCACTGGACTCGGAGGTGCAAGATAAAAGATTTTGAAGAACTACTCACGACTCTCACAGAGGAATTCAAAATAACAGCACATAAAACTCTTGAAGCGTTTTGGATCAATGCCAAAAATTCAAAAATGAGCCGCAAGGAGGAGTGCCTTATGATCACGCGTGACTTTACGCCATACCTCAGACCGATTTTCTGACCTGGGCTCGGCACATTACTCCTGCATGTAAAACTCTGTGCGGTTTGTCTCCATGAATAAGTGGAAGACTCATGGAAAACGCTAAGGTTTCTAAAGGAAGCCGTTCACTATGCGAATAAAAATTTCTCTGTTATGTTTTGTCTGCTGAAGCTACGAAACCTTATAGCAGAGTACATACATTGTTTGTCAACTTGAACTTTCGAAGCTTTGAAGAAGGCAAAACTATTTAGACGTCAGCAACTGAGTATCAACAAATGCTGTAATAACAACCTCGCTATTGTTCATCGAGAAAAACAGTGCCATAAGAATGAGAACCGTGAATTAGGGACATTATCGCTAACCTCTTTTTCTCGAGAGTTCGTTGGACAGCAAGACCCCAGCAGCAGATGGTAATTTTCGCATATTCCTGGACGAAAGTCTCAACTTCCTTAACCACTACAATGAGAAAAAGTTTAGTTCCAATATCACGGCAGCTCAAAAACGTAGTATGCGATAGGTTATATAGCTAGTAAATTTAAAAACTCCTGGACTGCCAGTTACTGATGAAAGTAGAGAGTCTGTAATTATTTTTTTGTCAGATAGATGTCAAGATAACATAAATACGTCTCCAAGATCCTCCCCTCTATCGGCCATTATTAAGAAGGAATTCAAAAGTCAATACCAAAACTGAACAAAAGGTCTATATGCGTCAGGTTTAAAGCCATGAGTTATTTCACAAATTGAAATTGATTTACTAACATTTATTAACATTCACTGCGATATTGAGTCTAACGACCCTAACATTCAAGGTTGGATGAATCATCGATTGTGTAGACAGGCCCATGGATTGAATAGCATGTTTAATAAAACTAATACTCATCCAGTTGCTGAAACACCTTAAAGACCAACTCAGAAACACCCATCACTTGTCACCTGTCGCCCTGTTGACCGTCGAGTGACCCAGCGGGCGCCAGTAATTTTTGCCTTTTCGCTGTCGCGGGGAATAACATCCCACTGGGTTCTGCTAGCTCTAGGGACCCGTTGGGCATCATATCTTTCTTCTAGGCCTTTCGTGAAGAACTCTGACTCGGGTCGGTGGTCTTCCCGCAGTGCGTTTGACATCTCAAGGAAACCAGTCACTTAGAGCTCCTGTCCATCGGTTGACATTCATATACATTACGTGTCCGACCAACCTTATCTTCGATTGCTCGATGTACTGAACTGCATCTTTGATTTTTTATCCTTGATGTAGTTCGGCACTTCGGGTCCCTTCTTTTAGTTGTGTGACAGTGGTTAATCCTAGCATCGTCCTTTCGTCTACGAGTTCAATAACGCTGAGTGATCTTTCATCCTGCTTGGCCATCGACCGGGTTTTCGACGCATACGTTGAAGCATGAAGTATCGCTGAGTCGAAAAGTTGGGCATGGAGTTGGGTGTCCTTTGCTTCCTTCACCATACCCATATGTTTCTGAATCGTTAGCGTCGTGCCGGTCTAAAAGCGGACTTGATGGATTCCTTCAACGTCACTACTCTTTATGCAAACGTGTCGAATGATTCCACTCTCGTAGCCATTCTCGAGCTCTTTATACAACATCAAGGAGCAACAAACACGCATCGTTGTCGATTTAGCATCTCACGGCTCTATTAAAAGAGTGCCTAAATTGCTGTCTTCAGATAGTCCGGAAAATATTACGCACAAATGAGAGGGCGTGCAATTGGACAGTGACGGGCATTAGGCCATGTCGAACGTCGAAGCCCCGTGCCGGATCTCCGGGCACCACTTTGCTGTATGTGTATTAACGACTGTTTCGCTATTAGCTCAACACAGCAGCATGTGAGCAAATGTTTTGCATTGCTAAACTAACAGTCGAATCACATATATTTCAGCTGACGGAAACCGAAGAAGGGCTGGTTCCTAATCTTGAACGCCCATGTTAAACTTTCCAAAAATAACTTCGTCACTGAATTGTGCCGAAAGCAAAGCAACGAGAAAATACTGGCTCACTGCCTCCGCTCTCACCCTACACAGATAAAAAGACGCTTGTTAGAGACGTACAAACTCGTAGCTACTTGGGAATGGTTTAGTGGAAAACGACGCTCCAAAAGGGTAAGTCTGGAGGAAACAAGGAGCCCTTTAAGCCGTCTTTCTTTCCCTGCGAAATAATTAAAACTATGAGACGTTGCTTAAAGGGGTCAGTTTATAGAGATCGGTAGTATTATTGAAATAACACCGAGTACTCTAAAACGCCAGATAGTTTGCAAACGCTTGTGTGGCCGCCTAATTGAAAAGCGCAACTGCATAACTTGCTCTAACGGTATAGACGGTATTGCACGAGTTCGGGTGCGATATGTCCAAACTCTTGTGAAGCCTGTTGGGACGAAAACGTTGGCCAAATTGGTAGACGACTCTACCTCATCGTGCACTCTACGACGCCAGCTAGTTCGCAACCGTCTATATGACCGTCTATGCATAACGAAAAACTGCATAATTTGCCCTAACGGTAGAGACGGTGATTGCATGAGTTCGAGCACAGTCTATCTGTTTTCTTGTGAACCGTGCAGGGACGAATACGTTGGCGAAACGGGTAGACCGCTCCGCGTCCGCATAAAAGAACACCTAGTCGGTAAATCTAAATTAAAACAAAATACTCCATTAGGCGCGCATAGGACACAGGAACACAACGGAGAAGATTTTGAGGTAGGAGTCACTATCCTTACGCAGGAATCGAAAACATCAGCGCGAAAAACTCTTGAAGCGTTTTGGATCAATTCCAAAAATTCAAAATGAACCGCGAGGAGGAGTGTTGTCATCACGCGTGACCTGGCGCCATACCTCAGGCTAATCCAATGACCTGACACAGACACAGTCCTCGTCCATGTATGTGTGGCTGCTATCCATCAACTAACTTAAATACTTACAACAAATAAACGGTAGGTGTTTAAATGAAGCTGTTTCTTATGCGAATGCAAAATTGTTTGTTAAGTTTTATCTGCTGTGGTTGCGAAAGTGTTTGGCTGGGTAGATCGCATTTCAATTTGACCTTTCCAGGCTCTGAAGAAGGCGAAACCGCCGAAACGTCAGCTATTGTATCCTAATAAATCCTATAATAACAACCTCGTGTCTGCTTATTGAAGAAAATATCGAATTATCAATCAGTGCCGAGGTTAAAAGAAAGTCGGTCGTGAGGACTCTACCTCAGTTTAATACTCCACTAGGCACCCATGGACCACGAAATCATAAGGAAAAAGTTTTGAAATAAAACTCATTATTCTCGCACAGGAGCCAAAAACACTTGAGCATAAGTTTGGAAGCGTTTCGGATAAATTTCAGAAATTCAAAAATAAACGGCAAAGATGCGTGATCTCGTGAGACACCTCAGGCTGATTTTTTTTATTTGAGCCAGATCTGGATGAGTTACGAAGGACAAGGCGGTGAGTGTTTAAAGGAAGCTGTTCACTATGTGAATGAAAATTTATGCAATACGTTTTACTTGCTTAGATTATGAAAGCGTTCGCCTGAGCACTTTATTGGTAACATTGCCATTTCCAGGCTCTGAAGAAGACGCAACCGCCGAAGAGTCAGTTATTGTGAATGAATATTGTGGTAAAACTTATGTCTGCTCATAAAAATTGAAAGTCTAATTGTTTGCAGTGGTGAAAAAAATTACTTTAACTGTTCACTAAGCATTGTCGTAAATGTTCTCCAAAATACAATACTTACTTGGGTACTTGGACGGCCCATCTTCACTGGTTGTGCGGGCCCCAGCATAATTTCCACTTTTTTGGAGTTTCTCTGGTTAAGTCATTTTGGCTCCACGGAGCCCCGAGGACAGCCTGGCCAAAGTCTGCCCCAGGTCGTCACCACGAAAGGCAGTCACAGCCCTTGTGGATCAGAGGGATATTTACCACCATACAACTTTGATAACACGACGGCGGTGGATCCTGGTATTGGTTTACTCTTAGCTAGGCTTCCTGATGGAAACAGCGGACTGCTTCTCAGCTTGGGGGAGTCTGCTTAGAGGACAAGTCCTCACGCTGTACATTGTAGCGCGATACTCAGGAACACATACAAAATGCAGTAGATGATACGAAAAATGTAGAATGTAGTCCTATTACATACGACACCTTCATATTCATGAAAAATCACTAAACCTGCCAGGTTTCTGGCTCGACGAATGCTTAGACACGTCTATTACAACAAAATTTTTTTCTGTCGGTTTATGTACCAAGGAAAACCATAATGTGACATACCAACGACAGCTTCCATTCAAATGATTTAAAATCCCTTAATGGTGGGTGGGTCACCATTTCATAAGTACCACTAATTTTCCTTTTCATTGCATCCCACTAACATCCCACTTCAACCTGCAACCTTGTTCGTTCTCCATAAACAGGGAATCGTTATACTTTCCATATTATAGGATTCCCAAGAGGATCAAGAATAGGAACAGGTTTATAGTTGCCATTCGCCTTCGATACACGGCCTTCGGCATATTCGCGTTTTTTCAAATGTTGGTACTTGGGTGGACAGTGTTAATGAATTCATGGGACGCCCATAAGGCCTCCAACTTTCAACTACTAAGTTGTAAAAAGGTTTGTTAAATCCAAATCTAGAATTCGTTTAAAATAAGCGAAAGTGGATCGGTAGAGAATCGGATTTTTCCCGCTCAAAAAATGCCAAAACACAGAATGCCCTAGGCGTTCTGCTATTTTTGAACACTTAGGCTCTTCAAACTCTTTAAAAAATGAGAAAATAGGTCTTTGAAGTTCTTTGAACAGCAGCTACCCGGCCACTGACTAATGCGCGTTGAGAAACTAACGTCCTGCTAACGCCAGCAATCCTGAGTACTTCTTCATTTATTTGTTGTTTCCCGTATATGTCATCACACGTATACATTGCCAGTAGCTATGTCACGACAACGTTCCTTAAGTTTGTACTTGGATGGACTGTTTTAATGAAGTAGGACAAGTCCCTTGCAGAATTTTCATTGACTAAATTTTTGATTGAATGTTTTTTACAGCATTTCCGATGATGTCGTATTAAGCCGTTCCTTTGTAGTCCCTCGGCTCTAGCCCTCATGGATCAGAGGGAGGCTTGCGCGTTGCCAACAGGTTTTTTAGGAAAATGACGACTTCCGTCAAAACTTTATTCTTGTATAGGCTTTTAAGCAGAAATTCTGAACTGCTTTCTAACACTGACTACTCTATCAACTGTATCTTTCCTTCGCATAGCAATCACCCTCCCATGAACGCTTCCTTGCCAAGCAATGAACCACTGCAGCGCCATCATAGCACTTCCAATAAAAATAATGGTCTTTCTCCAGCTTTTCCCCATAAATTCATTCCACGCAACTAAACAAATGTGCGTGATATTGTTTGCCATGTCCAATACTCCTCTTTTATGTTACAAACTTTCTTCGCTTGAAAATACTTTAATTTAATTTGAAAATAAATAACTTGCCTTTTGGACTAGTTGATTGCTTTCCGATCATCTGTTCTGCTCTAATGCCAATAATGTCTTCTGAACACCACATCGTCATTTATAGTCTCAATGAAAAACGAAAGGCTTTTGTACAAAGAAAATTCTCCATCACTCTAACAAATTTGTTCTACTCTTATGGCTTTCATTGACCATGTGCACTGTTACGACCTATAACTTCGAAGAGCATACATGTCTATTCCTTAAGAAATCTGCTTTTCGACTACTCCAAACCCAACAACGTCAATCTCTGAATATTACTCGAAAGAATTCGTCTTTAGAAAATCACAGCATTCAAATTGCTCAGTAAAACCGGAAATTGGTCCTGATGCAGGGTGAGGCAGACACGTAATTTTTACAATTTTTTTCTTCGCTGCTTGTGTTTCCCTCTATTATGACGAGAAAAATCCAGTTTACTCGACGTTTACTAAGTGTGTAGTTGAGTGTTGTGAAGAAATCGCCAGCAACTTACCACTTTTTAAGGCGGGAAGAGAACTTGATGTTGTTTGTCTCCGTGGGCTCCAGTCATTTACCGATGATCTGAACGAATCCATCCATCTGTTGATTTATGGAATATTGGTTACCTCATGACCGACACTGCCACCAACAGGTTAAACGTACAACAGCCGTGAGTTCAATTTAATCGTTTTATGCACCAGTTAATGTTTCTTTGTTATGAGGGAAAAAATTAACTTGCCTCTGTTTAGTTCTGGTCTCGTTTTTCGTGGAAAACACATTTGCCTTCTCACAGTTTGGTGCCTGTTGACCTCTACTGTTGTTCGTATTTGAAGAATCACACTGACTGGCGTCGTCTTTTTGGTAGACAGTCTTCGGAATGTCGTAAGGGATTTGTTGTGCACCACAAGAATTGTAGTAAATGAATAAGAGACACCATCCGAAGCACAGAATAAGTATCCCAGATCCTATGACAAGAGCTGGAATACGGTTTTTTCGTCGTTTTAATACCTTATGATGAATTACATAGTCACCTATGATCCACCATGACGAGGACTGAACGTGATTGAGATCTTTCTGAGCTGAAACATTCTTCGTTTATGTATCTCATTATTAACTCAGAATTAATTCGACTGACCTATGACGCGATTCAGTGGATATTGAAGAATAGCAGATATGTGTTGCATGCTCAATAAGCTCATATCGTTTGCCATAATCTAAAGCTAGAGTTTTGCGAAGCCATAAATGCTTTTTCATTAAACTCACATCTCCACGTATCGGCTCATCTCTGTAGTAGACAATGAAGTAAATGACTGTCTGGTTTTTGAGTGGCAAACGTCGCACAATCTGAATATGCAGTTTCACAGGACTTCGAAATGATTGAATAATTCGTACTTTATACTGAAGGACTGTCCATTATTTAAAACCCATTATATGACAATAAAATGAGAACGCGGATTGGTATTGATTGGCCACTAGCATAAAGATGCATTCGTCCCAATGACACGTCGCTTATACCTTCATGACAATGCATTTTTCATGTGAAGTGATGTAGATATTCAGCTCGCACGGACAAGATTTATAGGTAACCACATGACAGGAGATGCACAATAAACGGCATCCACAGAACGACCAAGTTTTAAGGTCATAACTGGGAATGATATGGGTAAGCCTCTCGTGTTAGTATAGTAAAGTAGCCTTTTCTCTCTCTCTCTTCGAATTTCAGCAGCCCTTAAGCAAATATCGATAAAAAAGGGCCTTATACGAAGTTAACGCTTCCACAATCCAAATCACATCCATAAAAATGCAGTGTTTATCCTGCATATATCTCATAAGAGCTCAATAACTTTTTCGGGCATTGAGTTCCTATAGAGACAAAAAAACGATTTCTAATAGGTGGGCCCACAACTGGCCACATCCAGAACGCTATCGTATCGACTCGTTCACAAACGATTTTCTTAGCTTTACTGCCGTTCTAACGGCTGGCTTCAAACATAGATAAAACACAAAATACTCTTCAAAGAGGGATGCGGACGCTGTTGTGCGTTCCCTTCGGCCAGATTCTTTTGCGTTCTATCATTTCAGTGACCGCCGCCTTCTATGAATCCAAGGTGGTTGGGGTGTGGCGTAAGCAGATACCTGGTTTCCATGGCTACTCGCAAGCAAACAACAAAATGTAGACAACGAGATATGCCATTCGTCTCTGCTTTCCACGCACACGTCAGACATCGATTTTAGTGGGCGCTGAGTGTCAGCGAACTCGGTCGCGCCTCGTCCGTCGTACACTCGGAGTGCTTGCCAATGGTCGCACACTTCTTCGCGCGAATACGCGCGACACGACGCGCGCCGGCCGTCTGCCACCTACTTCTTGAACAATCACGTTAGTATTTTGCATAAATAAGGAAGAGTGTAGCACTATGTCCGCTACCAATTATGACACTGTACTCTAGAGGTGATTTCGACCATTTTGTTTGTTATTTACTTCGCTAACAGCACTTCTATGCAGTAAAGTTTTATTGTTCTCGACTAAACTGTCGTCTCACCTCAACTCGTATTCCATCGGTGATGTCTCGATCACTGAACGCATTTGTGAAGTTCGCTTTTTGTCGCAAATGCAACGCATTCGCGGCGGTCAGTGCATCGTTGGCGATTAGCGCTAATCGTCGTGCGACTTCTTCATCGTTGTCGAGAACAATCGGTGCGGCTAATTCTGTTGATTTGTGTGTAGTAATATGACTAACTGGTAATCTGATATGACACCTAGTAGTAGAGCTCACCAATTCGAACATAGTACAGCGAAGAAGGTTTGAACGGTCTGGGCTCCGTGTTGTTCCCTAGTGATAATTTAAAATGTAGTTAGAGCTGTGTCTTTCGTTTTCTTTTGAATTCCATTCTAGTTGCGAAAATTTTTAGTTGGAAGATTATTTTTCACTCCAACGTATCTCGATAAGATTCCTACGTCAAGCTGCTCTTCGTAAAACGTCAAAATAAGCCACTGGTCTATTCTAAACACTTCGAAGACAGCTATGAATCTATTCAGACATTGCTGTTGGGATTCAAAACGCACTTGCGGCCCTTGGAAGTTTCTCCCACACCATCGTGATCTAATGAAGCCCAAAAACGGAGAACATTGTCTAGTGCCTATTTGGGTAGAACCATAGGGCTGGGTTCTTCGGAATTATTTCGAAAATTTGTCCATTGTTAAGCTCACGATGACTGCGTGTCGTCTCCATGTATTAGTGTCATGATCTGGGTGTTTAAAAAATTTCCATAGGAGCAGAAATTGACTCTTATATCATTGGGAATGGCGCTTGAACTATTTCGAATTCTTTAGTCGTATTGAGAATGTCTCTATAAAACGTTTCTATTGAAAGGAATAGCAAAAAAAAGTTTTGTGAATAATAGTGACAACAAAACACATGAGTCCTAATGTGACTTATCAGTTCTCTGATAGTCAATTAACAATAATTTAGAATAGATGAACTAAGAAGCTTCCATTAGAGCACTTCACGATAAGTGCACGTTGTTAGTTTGATACCTAGAAGAATAGGGGCCAGCACTTCGAAAGACAAAGTGTCCTTTAGATATAAGACGAATCCAATCATTGTTTAGAGTTGTAGCGCATGTTTTATGTGTCTTGACTATCTTCGGAAAATATTCGACCACATACACTACTACTTAAAGATCAGCAAAACTAAATCACGAGAAATAGCTTTGGGTGCTGGTTTTAGTAAGTTTAACTTTCTTAATTTATATGCATACTTGAGCAAGTTAAAGATGTATATTCGGCTGGTTCTCAAGAAAAGGCGCTCGGGTGGCACGCCGCAGCTTTCCTACTTGAAATCTAGTGACTCACCTTGAGCGTACATTTGTACATATGACAGTAGTATGAATAGTAAAATCATGATATGATGTGTAATGTGCTGGAGGATAAGACCAGTGTGACAGGCGGGCGATAGCCCTGGATGGGCGCTGGCGCCTGAACGCGACGATTCCATGCATTGACGTTTCCATGACGCCCTACGGCTTGTCTTTGCACAGCACATTTTCAACATTGAGCAGATCACTCATCTTTTCATTTCACAGACATTTCAGACGAACAAATCAATATCATCTTGTTTCTATCCCCTTTCTCTGAATCGAACCGTGGAATTATATAAACTTCTGATTTTTCCAACCTCCCAACGGTTTCCCGCCTCATCGTGGCTGGGAGGTGTTCCTGTGTGTCGGACTGCGATGCACGGCTGGGGATTCGTCCCCCGGCAGGGTCTCCCAAGCTGAGAAGGAGTCTAGCGTTTCCACCAGGAAGCCTAGCTAAGAGTAAACTAACACAAGGATCCACCACAGTCTTGGTACCAAGGTCGCATAGTGGTAAATCTCTCCCTGATCCACAAGAGCTGCAACTGCCTGTCGTGGTGACGACCTGGGGCAGACTTTGGCCAGGCTGACCTCGGGACTCCAAGGAACCATAATAGCTTAACCAGCAAATCTCCGAAAAATGATGATTATGCTGGGGCCCGCACAACTTTTGATGACGGGCCGTTCAATTATCAAGCATCAAGTCTTCTGATTTTTTACTTGCTCTCAAGGGTTACGCCACGTCATGCTCAAGTTTATTACCCGGCTGTCGTTTTAGCCTTTGTCCACTTTGTCAGGGGTTTAAGTATTAATATCCTCAACTGCAATAGTTATGAGCTGTTCATGAATTGTGTTCTGCATTTCCAATCTGACGTGTGCTAATTTTTCGTCTAATAAAATGTTAGAAAACAATCAACCGTAATCTTTCGAGCAGCTGTTATGAGATATCACTTTAGCATTTTAACATCCATCCTTTGTCATATTATGTTAACGGTTTCGAAAACAGAACTGTTACTTTCAGTCATCGATTTTACTTGTTATCGAGTTTCCAGTCGAATCATTTGGCATGAATACTTTGGCAATAGCTGTGCTGTTTAGTCTTCTTCCTGCGTGTCCAGCACTTTACTCTGATCGTAACTGCAAGCTACTCCATTTTTAATAAATATCCATCTGGAACTGCGTACAATAACCCACAGTATTAATATTAATATGGGAAAGGGCGCGTGTGGCGCAGTGGTTGGAGACACCACTGCGGCACACACGTGGACTCGATCCCAGCGCCCATGGCTCACTAAGTCTTCCATCCCTCCGGGGTCGGCAAATTGGTACCAGACTTGTCCGGGAGGATAGCAGCACTGGCTCGATACATCGGTAGGCCATCGCGAATCATTGTAAAGGCCAGATATGTATTCAATCACCTCCAACGATGCTTAATGAAGTCGAATGCATGGCGCATCCCTCAGGGATTGATCAACGCCGAGAACTTTAGAGCTTTATCCATCTTGAAAACTACTTCTGGCAGTCGTCGTTGTCGATCCGCCGTTAGCTACGTAATCACTTCCGATGTCTCCGGCTGTACGCCACTCACGTCAAATATTTGCATTTTGAATCTTTCCGATAATTAGGAGGCTCGTTGGGAGAATCGATCCCCCTCTGACACTGCGCAATTTGCCTCCATGCCATGCGAAACAGCCACAGCTCCCCTCTTGTTACAACGGTTTCATTCGTTCACTTTTTCTTCATCATCGTGTCTCTTCAAGATTTCTGTTTGACCGCATCGTTTTTTACCAGCTAGTACTGTCTCCACTTAAGTACCTTGTAAAAACTGGATATGTAAACTCAAGCGCTACCATTTTGCCTGAATACTCATTTGCAGGACAAAAGTGCAATTTTTGAACCTTTTTTAAACTAATTGCTCTTTGACGGAGAAGTCATTCTTATTAGGAAGACTTTATCTCGTTTCATTATAAAAATCTTTGTTCTCTTTAATCTTTTCATTAATCACCTGTGTCATCTGTGATCTTATTTAACCGGATTCCTTTTAATCATCCGTTTCAACTGTAATCTTGTTTAATCCGTATTCACGACTAACTGAGTCACGTCGCGTGAAGCATATCCATTAATTATTTACTAACAGGTAGAAGTTTTTAGTACTGTCTTTATAAGGAAGGCTGTCGTGCTCTATTTCATAACCACGCACATTATGGCCTATCTGCAATGTTTCTTTCAAATAATACCTTTTACTTAAGAATTGATAACATTGGATAGCATGTGTCGCACTGATGTCTTCAATTCATCAATGGTAATGTATTTTGACGTGATTTACTCAAAGATATGGGCAAACTTAAAATGAAAAAGAACGAAAACTGTTCCATGATATATTCGTCGGCTATGGTATTCAGCTCACGCTGCCCAAAGTCAGTACCTCGATAAATTGACGTTTTCGAAAACATAATGTGCAGTAGGAACAGTCTTCCTTAAGCTTATATGATGTGTTGGCCAGAGTGTCTAATAACTGGTTACAATCTGACGACTTGACCTGGTGAAATTTAGGTGTAGTCTTTGTATATATCCGTCCAACCTCGGTTCTTTCCGTGATGACGATATTTTACGAAGCCCTACTCTAACTTTGTCGCTTCCACTGCCTCCATATATCACAATTCTGATTACGCGGCACTTAAAATATGAACAGGGAAAGCAGAAAAATGAGTAGTAATGTGGCCAAATTGAAGCATTTTTCACTTCGTATTTTCAGACAGGTGGCAGTCTACTGTAATAAAACGTAATGATTTTTCATAATGACACATAAAGTGCGTAAGTTACCTAAATTTTTTTGCCAAAAGTACATCTTCGAAGAGCGGTGCGTAGATGCAATATAGCTGAATCAGCCCTGAATCCTCTCTATATTCGTTCACAATCTCATCACCATCAACTGTGACTCTTCGTGCCAATCCACCCTCATTCTTGGCTACCGTAGTTTTCGTCTAGAAACAGGAGGCACCGCAAGATACCTCCTCTCTTGCGATGTAATATCCCTGTGTGCTTGTGACCCGCATTTCCTTATTATCGTATGGTACGTGTGCGAAACTATACTGTTGAATAGAGGTACGGTGAATAACGTTTTACCTTCGCTTAACTGATGTTCGTTAACACTGGAAGTTGATGCGAATCTTTTTAGAGTGCACACTTAACAATGGAGCGCTGTTTGATCAAACGTTAATCTAAAGAAACTTATTGTTACTCCCTCGTAAGCATCGAACATCGCAGAGATAAAATGTACTTATAATCCAGCAACAAACGCAGCTCTCGCAAGGCAGTCATCAACATACACGCATGCTCAAAAAAGTCATAGCACATACGTACACATATGCTTTCACATGCACACCTGTTTGTGGACACACATTCACATTGATTTACATCTTTACATTAAAGTTCTGACATACGCAAAGTTAAAGATTCGTGAGAACGCATGTATAGACATTTATTTACACACACATTCGTATACAAAGTCACATTAACACAATTTTTCAAGCCATTCTATACTTCGTTGGAGATTTTAAGTGCCTAGGATTTTCCATGGTTGCCTTGACTTCTCTCTCTCCCTTTCTCTCCGTCCCTCTCTCTGTCTCTCCTCGTCATTATCTCCCTATTTGTGTACTTATTTATTTGTTTATTTGTTTGTCTATTTATTTATTTATCTGTCTATCTATCTATCTCTCTAACTATCTATCTATCTATCTAATCTATCTATCTATCTATCTATCTATCTATCTATCTATCTATCTATCTATCTATGTATCTGTCTATCTAATCTATGTATCNNNNCTATCTATCTATCTATCTATCTATCTATCTATCTATCTATCTATCTATCTATCTATCTATCTATCTATCTATCTATCTATCCATCTATGTATCTATCCATCTATGTATCTGTCTATCTAATCTATGTATCTATCTATCTATCTATATATCTATCTCCATCTCTACCTCTATCTCTATACCTCTATCTCACTGAGAATCAACTTCTTCATAACGTAACGCTTGCATACCTTTACCAGCATTTGCAAAAAAATCTATTTCAGCTATTCCTTATTAAAAGTTATTAAGCATTCTTATTTGCAGTTTTTTCATAGTTGTAATAAATCCGCGCCTGGTTTTCTGGCATATCTATCTCACTGAATCACTCTGTCCTCAGAGCTCGGAATGAAGAAGTAGATAAATTCGCTTTCGCGCTGGGCTTCTCACGCTAAAACAGAATCATTACGCCATTATATAGGAAGTCGGTAATTTTACAGTAGTTTCTTTTTTCGTCGAGCAGTAGCATGAAATGGACTGTGATAGACAATGTTCTCATTAACGTGTCTAGAACCAAACACTCTTTTTAAAAGCAAAATGTTGCTGAGAAATGAACAAAACTCACTACCCCAAGTGGACTTCGAACCAGCGATTACCATTACCGTGCTCACGTGCTACCTACTGTATCGTGGAGGCCTTTGCTTTGCTTTTCGCCCAACCAGTTTTCTTTATCCTAACAGTGCTATCAACAACCATCTTTAAACGGGAATGATCTGAGAATCGCAAATTGGCATTGGGTCCAACTCTTCCTGAAATTCCTGCCTAATAGCTGTTACTTTCAGCTTGAAAGAATGGGAATACATCAAGTGCTCATTCGCAAGTAGATGTTTCCAAGTATTTCGAATGATTTTTCGTGGTAGTCTTAAACGATGAAGTAAAATAGGTACATTGTGCTGTGTGTGTCCTTTTTGTTGTTCTCACGTGCTCGGCTACGGCTCGGTGAGTTCGCGCAACGGAAGCTGGATATGAGCACTGAGTGCCGCACAATCGTCGAACTAATTAACAAGAATAGGGTGAGTTTGAGTGGAAAATGGATTTTCTCCTTGGTAGCTCAAGCGAACGAGTGGTTCTTGAACGAAATTTGCGACTACAAGTGGTATTTGTTCCATACCTGCTTACGTCCACTTGATTCAGCTCAACCAGTTTTTGACTTTACTAGTATTTATCGTACTTTGGACAAAAAATCTAAGAGTGCTCGAAAATTCGTGTGCGAGCTCTCCATTGTTGTTATGCATAAAATGCCATTAGTTCATCCAGAGATTAATTATTTTGTGAAATTCTCATTTGTTAAAATAGCTTACCATAACAGTACTTATTTCGTTATTGTTCAGTGTCTTATAAGAGCGTGATTCGCAGTGCCATAAATTATTTCCGTTTCATATATCCTGCTCTACGTTGACTGCTTATACCACTGTGAGCTCATGAATTTTCTAGTGTTCCGATAAGGGACAAGGGGGCAGTATGCTGAGCCTAACTGTTACATAGGGTTGAAAGACTGTACCCAGTTTGCTTTAACCGAGTAATGAATGCATGACTAGTTTTCATGTAGTGTTGTTCGTTTCTGCATTTAGAAAGACTGTACTCAACAAACTAAGGCGACTGTTCGGTTCCTCTGCCTGTCGTCCACGTGTCTCATTCAGCTGCTTTGAACGATTTATGTCAATTGCCAGTAGGAGTAGTAGTAGTAGTAGTAGTAGTAGTAGTAGTAGTAGTAGTAGTAGTAGTAGTAGTAGTAGTAGTAGTAGTAGTAGTAGTAGTAATAGTAGTAGTAGTTGTTGTTGTTGTGGTCAGCGAGCCTTAGCGTCTGCTTAAAGATTTGTCCTTACTCGTTCATTCAACTGGCGATTCCGACACGTTTCATCGGAGAATTCCTATTCGCCTCTTTAATGCGTCATTTGACGTTTCCGGTGCCAACTTTTTCCGATTTTTTGTTACTGAGCTCCCTTTAAGTTACATTTGGCCCTAGATATCCGGGTAGCTCTTTCGTATTTCTTTATACTTTATTTACTTTCCACTGTACTTTTTGTCAAACCCTTGAGTATTACTGAAATATTTTTACTCCCTTATACACGTTTCCTAGTGTTTCATGGATCCACGGAAATGAGATGTGATCTGCTGCATCGAATTTTCGTCATGCTGTTGCAAACATGCAGTTAATCAACTTTTTTCTTAAAACGTTTTCCTTCATGAGCTATTTCAAAAGAAATCTCTGCATTCGATTATTAGTAACAATTTTACACTTCTTATCTATATCTTGTATTGAAGCTATCTACGATTGTACTTCCACCGAGAAAAGGAATGTATTGCTGCTGAGGAAAAAAGATGTAGGATGCAAGAGTCATAGAAAGATATATAAAGAAATATATATATATATCATTTCTTGTTGCCGGTGCTGAGTACTGTCGTGCAAGAAAAGGGAACAAATTATATAGAACAGCACTGACGTCCATCTGGCATAATTAAGAGTTTTGGAAACGTGGATAGACTTCAATCACAGTATATAACTTTTAATCTACTACCTTTTGTTTTTTAACGGCAGGGTATATGTGAAATACAACCACAATGATGCTGAGATATTTGCAAAACTTAAGCCCTGGGCCAAATTGAACCACGATTACCCTTTCCGGGGCTCACGTGTTACGCACACCACCACTGAGGCCCTCGTTTCGCATTTCTTTCAGCCACTATTTTTACCCTAACGGTGCCATCATTTCCGTTAACGGTGTTTAGTAGTTGCTGAAATCCCGCTTTTAACGGTATTTAGTGGTTGCTGATGGAACCGTTAGTATAAAAAGAATGGCCGACAGAAATGCGAAACGAAAGAACCAGTGGTGTCGTGCGTAACACATGAGACCCCGGAAAGTGTAATAGTGGTTCGATTTGGCCTCAGGTTCAAGTTTTGCAAATATCTCACCATCATTATGGTTGTACTTTACATAAATACTACCTTGAAAAAATAATGGGCAGTAGATAAAAAGTTATATATTGTGATAGACGTCTATCCACGTACCCGAAACTCTTAATTATGCCAGATAGACGTGAACGCCATTCTACATAATTCGTTTCCTTTTCTTGCACGACAGTGGACCTGAAGATTTCTCTCATAGACTGCTTGGATGTAATATGTTTCTCTGAGAGGAAAAAACTTACAATTCGTCGACCACCACAAAGTACCATATACGGTCGACCGGAACGAAGGAAATCTCCGCTTTCTCAAAAGCTTTCCTAGAGTTTATGAACCTTCTTGAGTGTTAGGAAGCAGCCTTCTTGCAAAAGCGTGGTAAACTCATAACATATGTTATAACAACATAGCAACACATAAACATAGGTTATGTTCCATTTCTGATGCATTAGAAATGTTGAGATATGAATTCCGAAATTGATCCTACTACTTGGCTGCCTTGTTGCTCCTGTTTTTGTAGTACTTTTGAGTGGTACTCTTCAGAATCTTGATTTTGAAACTGAATGTACTCGGCTTGTTGATTAAACTCACTTCGTCGATGAGACGTGACCCATGACAACATCACAGGTTCACAAGGTTACGAGAAAAAGAACGGTTGGGATAGTGTATGGCATTAAAGTTTTCAGAGAAAGAAAGATACTGATTGGTTTAGTCAATATGAGTCTAACTCGACCTCTTATATTTTGGTAACAAATACCTCTTCTATTACAACGGTCTATTGTTTGCCACTCGTCATGCTCGGCTCGCCACAACGCTGCTGGTGGCTGGCCAACAAATATCCTAAGTGTAATCTTTTCAGCCGAACTGCGTTTCTTCGCCGTTTATATCTAGTCACTTAAACGTTTAACAATTACTTATTACCTTTTCATTATGTGTACATTTCCTACTGTACGCATTTATCTATGAAAAGGCATAATAATGTTGTAATCTATCCGAATCATTAACGCCATTGCTTTACCGACCAACTTCTGTAAAAGCGACGACATAGTAGTACTCGCCTATAGCTATCGCTGTAAAGCATCCCGTCTATCCGTTCGCTTTCCTTCCTTGCCTGGATAATTGTCGACGAATCTAAACTGACATTAAAGCCACACACCGATTAGAAATGCTATGTGAACATTTAATTGCCTTACTGTTATGAAATATTAATGAGTCAACGAATAAAAGACACTTTCCTTGTGTTTTCTACGTTAAATGCGTGTCCGATTGGAGACGATCGCCGCGGTGAGTTACTCGCTTCAGCTCAGTCGTCGTTATTTAGTTTAGTAGTATTCATTGATCCGACTTCATCTACATACTCTTAATACCATGAGAAAAATATGCGTAACTAAAAAACTACAGTATTCCGTACCATTAGGTTTGTTTATGTGGTGTTCTCATTGCAATTATTTGGGCACTCTCTTGTTACATCAGCTCAAATTTGGCCAATAGCATTCTACTAATAAGGCAAATGATACTAACGCCTTTGGAAAAGCAATTCCTGCAAGAGAATTGACTTTGATTTCATGTCCTTCTAACGTCAACGTACATAACATATTGCACTTTTGCTGCTCAATGCTCCGTTCGACAACGATGAACTAACCACCAATATTCCTCAGCGTACTGTAGTCCTTTAATTAAACAAGTATGGAGGGCGCGTTGAATGCTACACCACCGCCTCTTTCGAGTCGAATTATGCACAATATGGTACGTTTAAACAATAAAAATCATATCCGACGTCTGCTCTGTTATTCGTTCTTTGAATGGCTAACCACTTCTGGTGCCCATTGCATTTTATTCGCCAAGAGTTAAGAAGATCAGTGGATATACCAGTGAACCAAATCACTTCAATGTTAATCTTGAATGATATCTTTCCTATTAATCTTATAAGAAGAAATTATATATTACGTGCATTAACTTATGTCATATAGAATGCGATTAAGAAAAATCGAGTACGTGCGTGCACTTGTGGAAGAGTAATTGCATTATTGGCTAACGGAGCCGTCTCCTCGTTGATTTATTTACTTGATCGCTGCATAACTCCACCTTAATGGTGTCATTATTCCGAAGACGTGCCTCGATGTCCTTCTTTCACAAGACCTCTACCTAGCTGCCTTGCTAAGTTTGCCGTAAGCTAGTAGAATCGTAGATCGAATTTTAGTTCTTTCCGCTATAACATTTACCAGTATTCGTTGTTGCCAATAACCTTAGCTGTTTTCTTCGTTCTTTCCCTATGTTTTCCAGCAATTTTTTCTATGAAATACC